GTATCTTGATACAAGAACATTCTTTTCGTCAGAATCCTTCAGGACATTTTAAGAGTCAGTAGATCTATCTATAGGCAAAATTTTAGGTCGAAATTCTATCATTTTGATTTTTTTGGATTACCTATAAATGAATCGAAAACTCAGTAAACCGGTTGTCACTCAATGACAAAGCCTTGTGGATTAAACATGAGCTCAAACAGTGGGTGTTAATTGAAGTAGTCCCCTCATAAGCTCGGATTCAAACACTTGTGGATAACATTCTATCATTGCTATTCTTCTCTAGAAAATTATCCATCACTTTGCGAATCCTACTTTACTATCAACGATTTTATTATCTGAACTACCATCGTTTCAACACAATTCATCAACAAGAACTCGAATTGAATATCTATCTAGAGACTAATGTACTTTTCTAACAGAAACTTCTTCACCGATTCGACGATGAATGCATCTATTCTCAGATCTCAGGTCGAGTATGATCTCAGATTAGACTTTGGCATATATATATATATATATATGTTTTACTAATCCTACCAAATATCTGATTTTGATTCATATCCATCATGTTTCAAAACTTCGGGCGACATGTAGTATCTTTAAAAAAATAAGAAATAGTAAAACAAATTGATTAAAAAAAGAAATTCTCTTGTTAAACATACGGTGTTCCAGTAAATGTTGTTGCTACATCCATAGTTCCAACTAATATTCTACTTATACCAAAGTCCCCAATTTTAATATTATTAGATTTAAGAAATATATTCCTCGCTTTTAAATCTCGATGTAATACTCTTGATTTATGCATATATTGTACAGCGATTAATATTTGTATTAACCATTCAACAACTTGATCTTCTTCTAATTTACGATTTTGCTTTTTTAATTCTTTTAAACGATGATCGAGATCACCACCTTCACAATATTCAGTTACAATGCATAAGCAATCATTTTCAAGAAAACTTTCATAAAACTACATGAAAAAAGAATTAATCGTTTTCAAAAAAAAAAGTCTTTTTCTTTTTTACTTTAACAATATGTTCATTCTGTAAACTCTTTAGAAGTTGCGCCTCATTAACAGAATCAATTGTTTGTTCCTCATCCATTTCACCTAATCGAACAACCTTCAATACTTTTCTAAAAAATATTGACTTCATTCCAAAAAACTAAACTCTAATTTTCATACGGTTCATGTTTTGCTTTTAGATCAGTAACAAGATAAGCTGTACCAAAATTTCCAGCACCAAGTTTTTCATCAATTTTATAACGTTTTTTATAAATCTGGGGTTCATCACTTGCTGCCATTGTTAATAATAATCTGAAAGAACAAAGACTTTATTAATCACTAATACATATTACATAACATATTGGTAATTTTCTAGGAAAAAAAAACATTGGTACGATATGTTAATTCATTTTCTGATCACTAGCAAAATATTTGTAAGTAATTCAATGTATTCTTTTGGAATATATTATAGCCTATGTTTTTAAGTTATACGAAATTTTATCATAATTTTATTTTGCTTTTATGTTTTCAACGATGATTTAAGTGAAAAAATAAAGAATAAAAATCTTTCTATCAGAACGTTCGTCATAGATTCTATCAAGTAATTGAATATGAAAACACTGTGTTATGGATTTTAATTATCGAAATAATAAAATAAAAATATGAGTCGAGTCAATATATGGAATTAAAAATAATCCTTTTGTATTAAATTAACAAAGAAGTTTTCTATGTTTCAAAAGATTTTCAAAAAGATCCTTTCATTAGTTTTTGTTTGAAAAAATTCAAGATTTTTCTAGATTTTTTTTTGGAAGCATTCTTCAAATCTAAAATTAAAAAGTAAATATTAGATCTTTAAGTTACTGAATTCGTATGAAATAAATTACTACGAAATAGATATATTTTATCTTACTTAAATCATCGTTTATTTGATTAAATTAAATTTGTACAATTTAACTGTTAAAGCTACATTAATGTTTTTATTCGTTTACAGATTGTTTTTACTGCTTACTGCATCATATCTTGTTACAAAATAAATATCTAATGTATTGATTTAACTATCATTTAAATGATGAAAATGCATTTAAATACAATCTTTATGTTAATCATAAAATGATTCATTTGATGAAACAATAATAATAACTGACATATCAAAGATTTTTTCTAAGGATAAAGTAACAAAAAGAGTCTTTCTTCGATGCTTCATATACTTCTCCTAATAATATAAATTCTATCATACCATATTTTGTATTTTATTTCTTCTTGATTTATTGATAAAAATATATTATGTAGAAATGCGTTGCATTATCGAAACAAATGCATCATACTGTCATCATAAAGGTAAAACAAAGTAAAAAAAAGTCATTTTGTATGATGTTGTTGTCTACAGCACTCCGGTTTTTTTTCTGTTCTTATTATTCATAAATACATGACTGTGCCCATTGACGAACTAACAAGCAATGAAATCATTTTAAATAAAATTCTTCCTTTTTTTTTACAAAAAAGAAAAAAAAAATAAAAATGCTGAATTTGTAAAAAAAAATACAATGAAACCTTTCAGCTCGTTTGCAATGTTAAAAGAAATAATTGTTTGCTTTGTTAGATATAAGAAAACATTGTCTTCATTACAATACATAAAACAATTGGGCTAATCATAAATTTTTTTAAATCAAAAGACTTTATTATCATTAACGAAAACACAAATTGGAGAACTACTCATGAATAATGTATTACAGGAAAGAGACTTCGAACTAGAAGTGTCATATATATTGAATAGACAAATTTCACCTTATGACAGCAATACTTGAATAGATACTTGAGATAAAAGTAAGCAACAAACACGTTGAGAATTTTTTGCTTCATTCATCGTCAATACCATTTCGTGAATTTTGTTTTGAATAAACATCATCTTTTATCTATCATGTAGTTTTATGAAATCACAAAATAAGAGAGTTTGTTTAACAATTCGAATTTGCTACTGTGTTGCATGATATTTTTAGTGCCATTGTATTAATTAGAAATAATTGCATCTTATAAGAATGTTTCTTAGCTTCTTCTAATCCAATCTATCGAGTGGCAAAATGATATATATATATGATGGCAGTGAAAGAAGGAACATTCACTTTATTATTATACTTTATTAATGGGGTTACTATGTAATAATTAGTAATGAATTATTCGAAGTTCGAATAATGAAACAAATCGACATGTCTTATTGTCGTCATAACCACGAAAAAATTACATATATATTCTTAATTGTTAATACATTCAATTTTTTTAAATGAAAGAGTAAAAAACTCAGTTTTCTTGAATTCACAATTACACAGGAGCCCAAACGTCACTTGATGTGATAGTACTAAATTCTTTGACGTATTCAACTGATGGTCGATTTTGAATTCGAATATTACGAAATGAAAAAGTCGCACCGCAGGGAATCTGATGAAGGAAAAAATAAATTATTGTCCTACGAAAACCTTGAACCCACAACCAAATCGAGCTTAGGATAATTGATGTTTATCTTATTTATCTTGCATAAGAGAAAATAAAATAGAATTAACAAGTGCTCAATATTCGAATGAATAATCTAGTGAGTACATGTCTATTTCATTTTAGGATGAGAGATGTAAGGAAATATGATTTCTTTAAAATAAATTAGTCCCATTTGAAGCTTTATTTCTGCAACGTTGAACTTTGAAAATCGATTTTGATTTGAGAATACTAATGAATTTTGTTGAAAAATTCACTAAGATGGCCATAACTGAACAAAAACGATGCATGAACAATAATTATATTAGGGTTTCTCAAGTCCTTATATGGAGTCTACATAATGAAGTAATTTTCATTTCAACAGTAACTCATTATTTAACAAGATTCCTTCATTAATCTTCTTCTGACTATGCGACTTATAATGGGAGTCTTCCAAGTAGTAAACCGCTTTTGAATCGAAACTGCATGCATTAAATCGATTCAAATGAACCATGAATACCCTTAGAAAAATTCTATTCTGAGTTTATTGTTGCGGAAATACTCGACTTTTACGGTATTTTTTAAATGAATATAGTTGTTTCCCTCAGGAATACGAGAAAACTGGATTTTCTAATTCCGACTTGGAACGTTGCAATGAAATAGGTCTTAATGAGAATGGTTTCTTTTGAATGTTTCAAATATTGCCGCTGTTCCCATCCTAAGATATAGCTATGATGATGGAATGTCTCAGTGTTCGTCGTTTATTCATGTAAATCGTCAAATTTAATCTTCTTATTTCAGGATAGAAGCAAATCAGAAGACCTCAGACTTTCATAACAAACATTTCTTGTTAAGATCTGTCTTCATGCAAAGTTTCAATTCGAAATTCAAAAAATCAGTTTTACGAATGTTCCTGAAACGCACCACGACATTCATTTTAAAAAAATATTTCAAAAGTCCAGCATCGCCACAGTAATAAGATAAGGTTACGGACCATGCTCAAGGTATTCACAGTTCATTTAGCCTTACTTAGTGCACATTGGTTCGACTCAGACGTGATTTATCAGCTGAAGGACTTGTCTTGTTAGTTGAAAATCTGCTGCAGCTCACGATGGAACCTCAAGAGCAGTCTTCTTCCTATCACAATGATTTTTTACTTCTAGATACTACCTGTTATTCTAATAAAAATCCTAAAAAGATTTGAGTTCATATTGATTGTTAGTAAGCTATAGAGTTTTTAATATGCCTATTTTTTACGTCCCATGTTTTTGAAAAACTCGTCTTTTTGAGTTTTCATATGAAACTCATGCGCCTATACGGAACTAATCTAGACTAGCTTTTATAAAAAAAAAGTTCAGAAGTTTTGAATGAAAACAGTTTCAATCATATCGAAATACATCCTCTCTGTCTATGACTACTGACATCTATTGTAGTAATAGCTGTTTCGTGATGTCATGTATTCGACATCCAATCGACCTTTGTTCTTGATATTTTAAACATTATTATTTCTATTTAATTTATTTCATAATCGAACGGAATGTCTTCATCTTCAACACATCATTTTGTTTCAACAATTCTTGCTAAACCAAATAAAACATCAAATGATTTACAAGAAATAATTAATAAATGGAATGATGATTTATTACAAAATGAAGATTATCTTCTTCAATATGCTCATCAATTGAATCAAAAACAACAATTACTCAATAAAACAACTGAATCATTAATTCAAACTCAAGATTTATTAACAAATCTCGAAGAAAATTTAGATCAATTTCAATTATCAATTCAATCATTATCAAAATATAATGATGAATTAGAAAATAATATTGAACAATTAAAAAAAGAAAGTAAAAATCTTTTACCAAATATTCAATCAAATCATAAAATAGAAGAGGATCGTTCAATAACTTCTGACCTTATGGAATCGGTTGATAATCAATTGAATGAACTTGATAAAACGATGAAACAACTCTATGAAAAACTTCAAATAAATACAGATAGTTCAATTGTAAATACAATAGATGATTTACAAACATGTTTTCATGATATTCATAATATTCAAGAATCAATGAAACAAATCAAATTATAAAATAAAAAGAAAGACAAACTTTATTATTTTTTTTTCTTTGTATTCTAGATGAGTTTTTTTATAGCACCTACCACAACAACAACACCATCAACTATTCCATTAGCAACTACAAGTACGACAACAACATCAGTACCAGCAGCAGCAACAACAACAAGTAAAACAGTAACACGTACATATCGTGATTTTGAACGTTTATTAACAAAATGGCAAACTGATTTTGATACTAAACATCGTTTATCATATGAAAATTTATCACAATCAGTTCGACAACGTGATATTGATTTATCAACATATCGTGAAACATTACAATTAATACAACGTGATATAAATCATATGCAATTACAACAAAATCATTTACAAGATGAATTAAAATTATTAGATACACACGATAAAGAATTAGAAACAAATATTATACAGTTAGAAAATGATATTTTACAATTACCACCATTACAAAATGATATTTATTCAATTCAACAACAAAATTTATATTTAAATCAAAATTTACCATTTACTTTTAATGAACGTATGAAAAATTTTCAATTAATGGAACAATTAGATTCATTAGTTAAATGTTCAACAAAAGATTTACAAGAAATTGTTGATAAAATGAATGAACAAGATGATGATAATGATAATGATACTGAATTAACAACGAATCAAAATCTTGATACAACACTTGTTAATGAACAAAATATAAAACAATTAACAAAAACATTAGATTCATGTTTTAAAATGTTAGCTTTTATTGATACTAATGTTACAGATATTGAAAATAAAGTTACACAAACAACTCAACGTTTACTTAATTCATAAACTTAATGTTCTGTTTCTTTCTTGTTTAAATAAAAAAAATATTCTTGTGATTCAATAACTATCTGTTTCTTTGTTCGAAAAAAAAAACATTTTCATTACATACCAGAAAAATCTATATTAACATCTTATTCTTTAGATCACTATTGTCTTCATATAAGCTTCATTACAAGTATTCTGTAAAGTATATGTGCAAGGTATGTATTTTCTTCATTTGTTTTTTTTTCATTTCATATGAATTATCTGAATTGTTTTAATACATTCTAAATAGTACAAAGTCTAATCAATAAATTGATATTATTATTTTTTCTTTCAATCTTAAATTGGTACTAATTACGTATAAGCTTTAAAAAAATAGATAAATAAATAAAATTTAATTAAGATTAGAAGTAGAGAAATCAAGAAATTCATTCTTTTTCAATTGCTATAATACATACATATAAAATAATGTGATTATAATTAAGATATTTTGGTCCTATAAATTATAACATGCATCTTAGCCGAAGAGTTTTCAATCTTTCAAAGCATTTTGAACATTATGCAAAATTTCAACCGACACCAGTAACACTTAAAAGCCTGATTGATTTCGGTATGTTGAAGAGAGTTCGAAAAAACTATACTTATTATTAGTTTCTGTTTATAGCCGTTGATGGTGATATAAAAGATTCATATAAATTTTTACGTGTTGAATTACTTGTTCGGTGGTCTCATATGCGTAAAGAAATGAATTATATACCGGCAAGGTATGATTGAAACGAAATAAAATAGTATAAACAAAATCTATATTTAATTTATAGATTACTTGAAATGCCAAGTTTTAAACATATAAATTCATTATATGATCAAAGTTTCTCAGAAGTTCTTGCATTTAAAAATGTTGAACCAACTGCAACAACACTTCGCAAGTAATTTATGTTAAATTTTTGTTTTTGTTCTATTAAAAAAACTAATCTGTTTTTCTTTTTGTTTTTCTATTAACATAATATAGCTTTACAGAAACATTAGTTGGTATTCGACGTCGACATGCAGACATTATTCCAACTTTTGCTCTAGTTAATAGTAGAATATCTAATATAAAAATTCATTAATCTCAATATTTTAGGCTTATATGGAAATGGAACAAACGGGTCCAATTGATTTAATAGAAAAAAATCATTTGCAATATTTTTATGATCGAATATTTATGAATCGTATCGGTATAAGAACATTAATTTATCAACATAGTAAATAAAAATTTTTATTTTTTATTCATTTAATTGAAAAGAATTTTATGCTTCTAGCTCTTCTATTTGGAAATGAATTCCCTCAACGTCCACAACAAGTTGGTATCATTGATCCTTATTGTGATGTTGTTAATGTTGTTCAAGGTAAACTCTTTTTCGAAGTTTGTATCCAACCTTTGCTTTTTCTTTATTACAAGTTCTACATTAGAATAGTGACATTTTTGAAATAACCTACGATGGACAAGTAACTGTCAAAAATCTCGATATATGGTTCTCCGCTTGAAAACATTGTAGAAAGTTCATTCTTTTCCAATTGACAGAGCATAATCTTAACTTAAAAAAAAACACAAGAAAAAATATTTAAGACTAACTTTGAATGAAAAACTAGTTCGTAGGAATCTTTATTGACTTTCATATTTTAGAAAGTATCGTAGGAACTCTATAACAGATAGTAAAAACATATTATACATTTTTGTTTTGATAGATAGCCCTACTTTATATGAGACGGATAGGAACTCGAGAAAAATTCTTTACTCAGGACTTAAATATGTTAATGAAGATTAAAATTAATTTGAATTTCTAGAGAATTGCATTCTATTTCGTAACATATGTTATAGACCAAAGTAGGAAAATTCGTTCAGTATCTGGAAACTATAGTTTAAGTTAGATGATTCAGTTTTCGCATTCAATGAAAGACTTGTAAAGTGTTTCGATCGTAAAATAAATCAAAATATAATTTATCGTACCCCATTTCAAAGATTGATAAAAACACTTTCATATAATTTCAAACGTAATCTGCTACAAGAACTTTTTTTTTCACTTATAGTTAATTCCAAAAAGTTTTTCTATATTTTTTCAAGCTCAAACTTTGTTCTTTCATCATGAAAGAGACGGAACTCTCTACTATGTTTCTGAGTGGAAAACTGTGAGTTGTGATTTTAGCAATAGTTTTTGCATCACAGATTATGTGACCATATTAATTAAGTATGTTGAATGAATTTTGATAGAATTAAGATAGAGAACCGCATCTGTTGCCATGATAAAAAAAAGATAAAGACACATGACATCGTATATTATTGATCTTTCTCAAATGTTTCTTAACTGACTCTCTAAAGCAATATAGGAAGGTGGTTGTCTTTTTTTTGTCAAAGAGAAAAAGTAATTGTTGAGTTTTTATTTCAAAGCAGGAATTGTTAGAAAAACGATTTCGCGTTTCGAGTAGAACGCTTATAAAGCGTGCTCCCAAAATTCTGTGTCTGAACGAAAAATTAGTTGATATGTAAATGATGGGTGATCTCTACCCAACTATATCTCTTTTAATATTAGTGATATAAACTGATGAAACATGATAATTAAAATTTCGAAATCAACCAGCAGTTTTTAAGAAGTTTTAGAATACTAGGAATTCATCGTATATAATGTAACACAACTAGACAAAGCGCTACATAGTGCCTAGAATGCGGGTATGGGGCTATCGTTTGTATCCATAACCTAATTATCAAGTTTCTTCTATTTATATCACTATTATTGACAGAGATAATGACATTGGATAACATGCCATTTGAAATATTATCTTCAGCACATGAAACTCATATAGACATAGTTGGCTAAAAAAAACACATTCTTTGTTTACATATATATACTAATTTTCGTTGAGATCTCCGACTTATGGGATACCATTTATAACTTCTAAATGATAAAATCTAGAAATTCACTGTAAACATCTCAAAGAGTAGATCCGCTTGCTAAAGGACCACTTACAAACTTAGAAAAAAACAACAGATGCAAACAAAAAGCTATAATATACGATTTAATGTATCTTCATCCACTCTTTGTAAAAGTGAAAATCGCAACTTTTTATCTTGATTCTGTCAGAAATTATTCTAAGTAAATGTACTTGCTTTTTCTTTTGAAAACGATTTTAGCATTGTCATCATATATCATAACAAATAGCTCTTATCGCAGTTTTATTATTGTGATATTAGTTAAAGAAACGATGAAATCTTGAAAACAAATACAGCACGATTTTTACGATGAGCTCATATCGAAAGAAAATTTTCTCAACCATTTCATATAGTATTGAAATGCTTCCACTAATAATTCTTTAGTGTCTCAAATAGTATACGTTTATCGAGTGGCAATAATCTCAAGGTCGAATTTAGACGAGTGTAACACCTGTGAATTAAGTGTAATCAAATATCTCATTCTTTGTTTTATATCACAGAGAAAAACACAATGTCAAAATATTTTTTGTCTTCATTGTACTTTATCTTCAAGTGCATATAAAACTGATTATTTGAGATTATACTTTCACCAACCAAATAAAAAACAAGATCATTTTAGGAGAATGCTACAAAGATATCGTCTGTAGTTTAAGTATACTTATTAAAAGTTTTCGCTGAGTACAAGTTAGTTTATATATATACATGCATTAATGTTAATCGGGCGAAGTACGTAAATGATAAATATTACATAAAAGTTTGTACAGATGACTATAGCTGTCTAAATGCCTAAAAAGTCATTTTTGTGTTTGCATACATGTTCCTATCTTTAGAATGACATTTTAGATTGTATTTAATACCTTTTCCTTTGCATGAATGAAATTTTCAACATATTTGTCGAGTACAAATATTGAAAAAAATAAGGTTTATTCAACACAAAACATACTGTTGCCAAGGAAGTAAGTGCAACATCAGAGCACCAAATTCTACTATAAGATGTTGTGGTGCTCCTAAATATTTGACATTAGAAATAGATATTATGATGATAGTCATGAGTGAAAGTCATACTATTTTATTTCGGTTTTTTTCAGTCAATATAAAGCTATTTTTCGAAAATAATGGTTTTTGTATAAAACTTGAGTGAGAATTTCCGGACTCCATAAATCCGAATTTCAAAACGATTTTTTGAAATTCTTGAGTTCAATTATGTCAATCAGATAAAACCTACTATCTGCGGTTTACTCGTATTTCACAATATTTAGCTATATGTTTGAGATAGACTTTCTCTGACCCAAAAAGATTGAAATCAAACATTTTGAAAAATCGATTAGAGAGTCAGATTCCTCGATCTTGAAAGCTTTTAATGAAATTTTGTAAAAAAACCTTATTTTCACAAAAAATGGCCTTTTTTGGTTTGAAAAAATCTAATTAAACTAGCATGACTCTCACTCATAGCTATCACCCGAATTTCCAATCTAATTACAAATAGGTATCAGCACCATCAGTATCAAAATGTATTGGGGATTCTGAAATTGCACTTTACCCTTTGCTTTGTGCCCTTTTATTTAAATAAAGCTAGTGAATCAATACTATCGTTTCGTTCTAAACTAGTACCCATGTCATATTGATGCGTATGTCTGTAATCTCCACTCTCTATGTATGTAATAGAAGAATCCTGTTGAAGACGTATGCCTAGCGACTAATGCGACGTCTTATTGAATGAATCCACTAAGGAAAATATTGAAATTTCACTTAATATATTTCATCTGAAATGAAGTAGTTTTGATGTTTTTGGAAATCTAATGCACTTCTACAAAATCTCCAAATCATTATGGTTTTTGTTAAAAAAAAGAACTGGAGTTCTTCTCTTCTTCGAATTAATTTACACAATTGACATATCATATAATTATTCAATAGTTTTTGAATAAAGAGGATCATAGGTGTAAGTTGATAGGATGAGCGGTGATTGTCGTAAAACTAAACAGATGTTACACTTTTAGAAATTTTTGATGAGCACGATCATTTTTCTGAAATGTCTTGATCTAATTTTTTTCTATCAATATGTTCTCTATTGTGTTTTCTTTTTTGTCAATTTAAATGTTTTGAAACTTTTACGAAAACTTTCAATCGCTGCCGGTGTAACTATCACTTGATATTTCTATATACGATCGAAGTCAATTAAAACAAGCTTGTGTAAAATATACTATTGTAAATTCTATACAACATTATTAAGAAAGGATGTAGAATATTTCTGTTTTTTTTTTGTTTTCTAATGCTCTAATGATAATATCTAAAACGACCTATTTTCAAAGATGTAATTTTCATTTAACTAAAACGATATGTAGGCAAATACGAAAGAAAAAAAAAACATATCTTTGTTTTTGTTATTTTATAAAAACTACGGTAGATGAATGTAAAATAATATTTGCTTTAGATCGATTACTTATCTATTTGACCTTCATTTATTTTTGTGTCTATAGACGCTTATGCTACAGCAAAACATTTGTTCGAACGAGCATTATATCGAGTTCCTGATATTGAAATCTCATCTTACAATGGTAAAGATATTAGACTGAAAAAAAATGTTAAATCAAGAATTTTTTCTTTGATTATTAGCACGCAGTAACGAAAATAGTCCTGTAACTATTGTCTATATTCCAGCTCATATTTATCATATCGTATTTGAATTATTAAAAGTAAGTTTTTGTATTTTTTTTGTTAAGGAAATTTTTGGTTTTTAACTTTTTTTTTTTTTGTAAAATAGAATTCACTTCGTGCAACTGTCGAACGCCATGGTTTAGATGCAAAGAACTATCCACCTGTACGTGTTCGTGTTGTTAAAGGTCATGAAGATTTAACAATAGAAATTGCAGACCAAGGTGGTAAGTTTCATGGAAAGTCTTAATCATAAAATGATTAAGAAAAGTATAACTATTAGTCTTATTAATATCAGACAAGAAAAGAATTTCTGTTGAATATCACCTGACTAAATTCCTATCAGAAGTCTCCATAAAAGAAATTTGAAATCTGTCGTATGAAAAAAGGACCAGTTGTGTGAATCATTAATCGAATGGATGTTTGTACTCATAGGTAGAATCCAATAAGACTAATAGAAGTTTAAAAGAGTTCACTCATATGCTTTGCCTTTCGTGATTTATTGCTGTTTTGATAGTTTTCGTGTTTAAAGGAAGATAGTTATGGAAAAATTGAATTACAGAGTTTTGATCTGAAATATTTTTTCATAGATAGATTTCATGGTTATTCAATTGTCTTGAAAAGTTCAATGTCAAAAAAAATATAGTTTTGTTGAAGCATTCAATTTTAAAGAAAACTGGGTTTCGAGTCGTTCCTTATGATTCATGATCATTTCTTTGATGTACAATATTTTCGTTTGTTGAGTTGAAATTTTTAACACATTCCAATAATTATGAAACCTATCTATGCATTATACTGCGATCGTTTCAAAAATACTTTCCTATAGGTAAGAAAATCAAAAAAATTATCATGCATCACGAAAAATAATCCATAAAGATAAACTCTTAGACTTCTATTGATCTAATCAGACCTACATACTGATGAGGAAAAATATCAACTCGATCGATAATTCATATTTGAAGACCTTCGATCGTCGAAAAAGAAAAGAAAGTCTAAGGTTTAACATACAGTGCGCGGCCAAAAAAGCATGTACATTTTTGTTTTTACTCATGAACGAATAATAAGGGTACTCTGAAAATTTTCTCTCATATCAGACTTTGTAGAACTTTTTTCGCTGATCATTTTGGTAAAAAAAGTTTTTGATTTTCATTGAGTAATGATGATGTTATAGTCAAAATACTAAACATTGTCAAATAAAGTAGGGAAAAAAAGTTTAGTATACTTTTAGTATTTGATTAATTTTTACGTCATTTCACAACATCTGGAAGATGTTCTATATACCATTCGACGCAGAATTTAATGGGCTACATTTTGGTAACAAGCACTTATACTTCTATTATAGTTAATTATTAGCCAATAATTAGTTAATTATTAGTTAATAATAATCAGTAAATAATCAATAAATTTTTGAGTTGTTGGGTTCTTACTAGATGCCGTTTGAAAGAAGAAGTGATGCTCTTCAAAATGCGCCCGTTTTCACGTATTTCATGTGCCGTTTCATGGTTGAATTTATTAAAAATAATGAGCACTATATCTAATTACAACTGAACATACTCTGAAAATCACACTAAAACCTCACTAAATTCGTTGCCTCCCAAATAGTAATTATAGAGTTTTGTTCAGTTTTTAATGCTCTTTCATATGAAAGAGTCAGGATTTAAAAACAACTCAAAAATTTATTGATTATTTCCTGATTATTATTAACTAATAATTAATTAATAATTAACTAATAATTGGTTAATAATTAACTATAATAGAAGTATAAGTGCTTATTACCAAAATGTAGCCCATTAAATTCTGCGTCGAATGGTATATAGAACATCTTCCAGATGTTGTGAAACGACGTAAAAATTAATCAAATACTAAAAGTCTGCTAAACTTTTTTTCCCTACTTTATTTGACAGTGTTTAGTATTTTGACTATAACATCATCATTACTCAATGAAAATCAAAAAACTTTTTTACCAAAATGATCAACGAAAAAAGCTCTACAAAGCCTGATATGAGAGAAAATTTTCATAGTACCCTTATTATTCGTTCATGAGTAAAAACAAAAATGTACATGCTTTTTTGACCGCGCACTGTACTAATGAAATTTATAAATTAATAATGTAGCTTTTAATCAACACTTTTTTTTGTGAAACACAATCGAAATACAGTATTGAAGTATAGAGATAAAAAATTGGATTCCTTCTCCTACAGGCGTGACACATATGCTAGAGTTCGTTTATCATAGACTGGGACATGGACGACATACGATCAAAACTCACATATCAATGATGTTTCCTTATAATATATGAACTATTTCCTTATTGCATTGCTGAACAATTAAGTAAAAAATATATTGAAGAAATTTACCCTAAAACAGATAAAATAGAATTATATCTCGTCCATCAGCATGTATAACTAATTCATTGTTTCACATTTTAATCTTGTAAGGATTGCTCTAACAACTTGTCTATTTTTTTTTAATATAATCTTTAATTACAATTTTTGTAAAGGTGGTGTTCCACGTTCAAAAATATCTCAATTATTTCATTATATGTATTCAACTGCACCTAAACCCCAATTAGATTCTGGTGGTGATGCGAAAGGAACACCTATCGCTGGTCTTGGTTATGGTTTACCGATAGCTCGTCTCTATGCAAAATATTTTCAAGGAAGCTTAGCTCTAGCATCTGTTGAAGGTCTTGGCACCTGGGCATATATTTCGATAAAAGTAATTAAATAGCTACAAAATTAAGTTTTAATTTTTTTTTTTATTGCTATCTTTTAGGCAGAACCAGCAAATGCTAGGTAAATTATTATACGTAAAAATCAATATAAATTTATTAAAAACTTTATATATATTATTTTTCTAGTGAGTTTTTACCAGTATCTAGCAAATTACGATATTCATACACAACAAAAAAAGGTTCTGATTGGACATCACATTGAAAAGATTTTTTTTTTCTAAGTTCTATTTATTTAACTTCTTTTTTCAAAATAGTGATTTGACTTAGATATATTGACTATAAAATAATTTTTAGATAGAATGAGATTAATTAAAATAATCTGTAGAGGAAATGAAATTATTTTTCATATTTAATAATTAATAAAACAGAAAAAAAAGAATAATGTATTTTACTCGATATTTACGTTCACAACGACAATCATTAGCGCATATTGTTGATCATTATGCACAATATCCGCCTACTGGATTGACAATCAAAAGAATTATTGACTTTGGTAGATTATTTTTATGTTGTTATTGAATTTAATTATTATAATTTTTCAATGCATAGCACGTGACGGTGATGCTCGACAATCATTTATATTTCTTCGTAATGAATTACCAGTTCGACTTGCGTCAATGATGAAAGAAATGGGACATTTACCTGCACGTCTTCTTGAAATGCCAAGTATTAAAACAGTGAATGGATGGTACGGAACAAGTTTATTTGAATTATATTCTTTTAAAGATTTACAACCAACAAATGAAACTGTCAGAAAGTAAAAAAAAATTAAAATTAAAACAAATTTATATTTAACGTTATACAGATTTACTGAAATTTTACAAAATATACGAAAACGACATAGAACTGTTATCGAGACAGTAGCACAAGTAATTTAGTATATACATATATATTGCTATCTTTGGTTGTTTCTAAGAAGATAATTTTATTCTAGGGTTATATGGAATTTTCTGATTCGGGAAAAGTTAAAGAATATGAAGAATCACAAATACAATATTTTCTTAATCGATTTTATTTATCTCGAATATCAATTCGTTTACTCATTTATCAGCATAGTAAGAACTTGACTTAATTCGATATTTAGATAGAACCTAAGATTTAAAATACGATGGTATCAAATTCTATAGAAAGCTTCATAAAGCTTCTCTAAATATACTCATCAAAAATCTGTTTTCAAGCATTTAATACAGTAATCTATTCAGCATGTGAAGAGGAGAATGGGCCAAAGAATGGCATCCCATTGAAGATTGAGTTGACTCTGTTGGTCGCATCCATTGAGTTCATAATTTGTGAATCCGATCTGTGTTCATCAAACTTTTTCAGATCTAGACTCAGTAAAGTCATACTTTGATACTTTCTTCAATAAAATTTCCTAATTGAAATCTAATAGTCGCTTCAAGGTACGAGATACTTTTTTTCGGTTTTTTATATTCAGCGCTTAGCGCATTCTATATATTTCTCAGACGGCTAGAGCTCGTCAGATCCCCAATTTTAAGATCCGTATCCGGTTAGGTCCTTGTTTAAAGCTACCTTGACTTGCTCTGCCTCTCGAAATTCATGGTTATTGCACTACACATTAGGTGTCTATGCTCCTAAACACAGATGTTCGTCTTCTTAGAATTATAAATTGATCTTTCCGAAGGAAAATGCTGGATAAAGCATCACTTTAACCGGTTTTGACTATATTTAACTATTTATAAGACTAACTTAAACCCACAAAATGGTTAAATCTTTTCTATGTCAGCTGCACTCTCATGTGATTTTAATGATGAGAAAAGGTCTCAAAATAAATATTTTAATGTTTCGAAACTAACATCTGTCAAAAGGGACTGTATAATTAAAGTAATTTAGAATAGTAAACGCGTCATCATGGAAAACTGATACGTCATGAACTTTGCTGATTTATATTAACATTTACTTTTATTTCTAATCCCATGTCATCAAAATCGTCACAAAATCGACAATTTTATCGTGATTTATTAGTCCGATAATCGTGAGATTATATCGCGATAAATCGTGAAAATTGGAGATTTTTCCTAATTTTCGCAGAAAAATCGCCATTTATGCTAAATTTTGACGATAAAATCGCCGAATGCTAGCGATTAATCGGCAATTTTTTTAAAAATCGCGATTAATCGTCAAAGATGCGGCGATTTCGACGACATGGGATACATCGTCTTTTCAATAATTTCGAATTGAATATTATAGAACGATTGGTGTCTTATCATTTATCAATATGGGTTACAACAATTTCGATACAATACTTCGTATCTTGATGAAGAACTGTCAAAAATTAAAATCATATTTGAGCTGAGCTAGTTCCATGAAAGATTTGACTGTGATTAAAATCAGTCTGCATCTAGAGTTATTTTATCATCAATCAAGAACGTATGTAGAGTACTTTTTCTTTATATTAGTACTTGTTTCGACAGTGGCTAGTCGTTATCAAAACAATTCTTGACGTATCCATCATTAATATCCCATTCGTTCATACTAAATAAATAATATCTTTATTTTTCTTTTGAATATAACTTTCAATAGTTCTATCTATCACAACTAGAGTATTGTTTCGAATGATTTCTTATCAATATTTTTTTTAGCTATGTGTTTTGGTGACGAAGTACCTGAACATCCTGCGCATCTTGGCTTTATTGATCCTCATTGTTATGTACAAGATAGCATAAAAGGTTATATTAAATAAAGCATTTAGTATAAAATGAAATATCAATTCTTTTTATTCTAGATGCATTTGAAAATGCTCAATTTTTGTGTGAAGGTTATTATTTAAAATCTCCTTCATTGGAAATTCGTAGTATTAATAGTATTTATTATTATAATTTTTATTGTATAAATTGACTTGCTATTTTATCTAGCAATAAGTCCCGATGAACCAATATGCATAGCTTATGTTCCATCACATTTGTATCATATTATGTTTGAATTATTCAAAGTATAAATGAATATGAATCTTTATTGATGAGATTATGTTTATTTAGAATTCCATGCGTGCAACTGTTGAATATGCAGAAAGTAGAAAAGAAAGCAATACATTGCCACCAATAATAGTTTGTTGTTGTTTTTTTAATGATTCTAGTCAATTGATTTTATTTCTGAATACTAGGTTGATATTGTTAAAGCAAAGGAAGATTTAACGATTCGTATAAGGTAAAGATAATCATTGTTGTAGTTTTTAAAATGATTATGATACATTTTAGTGATCGTGGAGGTGGAATTCCACGTTCAAAAGTTGATAAAATTTTCAGATATATGTATTCAACTGCGCCAAGACCTGTATCACTGACTGATTCTCAGCATTCAGGTCCAGTTCCATTAGCAGGTTTTGGTTATGGTCTTCCAATAGTATGTTTACTTGTAATATTTATTGACATAAAATAATGATTTGTGATGTATAGAGTCGACTTTATGCTAGATATTTTAATGGTGATATGGAGATTCATTCCATTGATGGATATGGTACTGATGCTTATGTTTATCTTCAAGTAGATAAAAAGAAAAGAGTTTGAAGTAGTAGCTTGCAATATATTTTTTTAGACTGTAGAAGATCAAGCTAGTGAATGGTTACCAATATGTAATCGAGCTGCTTATGAATATTATACATCACGAAGATATCAATCCGATTGGACGAAAAAGAAATAATATCCGTCATATATTTTTGGAATTATTCTGTAGTACGCTTTTAGTTTATTTTCTTGATTGATTTTTATTGTTATATTTTTTTTTCTATGTGACAATAATAAAAGAATGAATGGTGCTATGTTTTGTATACTTTACTGAAAGTCTTTTTTTTCGTTTTGATTTATGCAAAATTAATGTAATAATGAGTAATTTTATTGGTTATATTTGTATCAATTACTTTATACATCTAGTTCGAAGAATCAGAAACCTATTTTAACTAAAGTGTGAATTAAAATGAAGATGATGTATAATTTCTACTAATGTAACACACGTTTCGATTGTTCAACTAACTGTTATCACGAAACATTTCTTCTTTAGAAGAGAAAGATTATTAGTTGAGTTTAGTATTGCTAGTGCCTCTGACCATTTAGAAAAGTTCTCGATATTGCATCACAGTTTTTGATGACTTTCTGATCATTGAGAAAAAATGATAAAATCCGCAAAAGTACACTTGCGAAGAGTCCGATGTCACTAGTGAATTTCACTTCTTTAGTTCATGTACTTTATCTTCATAGATAATGGAGCAAGTGCACCTATGCAGGGTTATGTATTAGATAATCATTAGCAAATATTTATATATTGATGCAGATAGTAACATATAATGAACTGTTTTCATTGACAAATGAATAATTTGGTAGTATTTGTTATTTGCTCTACTTTTGTCATCACTTAGTTTCACGACTCCGCCAATGTTCGCACCAAAGATTCGTACATAATTCATAGTAATAGATGGATGTGAGTGTGTGAAGAGAAGGAATCCGTATCCACATTTTCCAATATCATACTGGCATTGTGAAATAAAACACAAGAAAGAACTTCATTACTAAGACGATAAAAGCCAATACAATGCGTGACACTTTTCTCAATCAAAGACAATGGACTACAGCGACTGTTAACCTAATACAAATACGCAATGATGACATTGGGTATCTGACGTTTATATTGAAGCATTTAAACCAAAAACTAGGACTACAGACTGTCAAGTCTCTCTAGATTCGTTGTATCATCTCATCGAATGAAAATGCGTGAGATCTTGCACGCCCATTGCCGAAATATTTCACCATGAAGAGTTTGATTTAGTCATGAAGTTATATTGAGCCTCTAATGAACGATCAGCTTGGCGAAATTTCTGCCTGCGTTGTTTAGATGAAGGTGACTGATATTTGTGGATGTAAAAGACCTTTTTGAAATTCCTGATAGTGGAGTAATACAATCATTTCAAACAAGGAGAAAACTTATAAAGTGAACAAAAAACAAAATGATGACCTGTGGGGACAGAACTACTACAATTTATTCTATTTTTCAATTAGTATATATAGATGACATTGAATACGACTCGATATATTGCAATAAGACAGAGAAAAATATTCTTCTTCGAAAAGAATTGATTGAGTCGAAACAAAAATGTCACTGTCTCTTACGTCTTAATGATGGCGGAATAGATATGCAGGACCACTTTTCTCCAATGCCAGTCGAAGCTACACACAATGATTTACTCTTATGTTGCGGGTCACTCAGTATGGTTGACAAAATGTGTTAATTCGTTAAAAACGATGGTTGCTATTTGAATAATTAATTTATACTATTTTAAACAAATGATCATGATCCTGACTTTGTTTGAGAATCTTTATTTTTATATTCGATTGTAAAATGAACAAATTGATAACAGTTTGAAGATTGAAGTGAGATCAGAATGTATGTTAGTCTATACTGGCATAGAAAGTACTCAAATCTATCATAAGACATGTGTCACAAATGTTTCTAAGGAACATTTAACATTAAGGAAGCCAACAGGTAATTGAGCAAGTATTTTCTGATTGGAAGAAACTGATGTCAGATTAATATTTTGAACATATCGTCTATCAAGAAGATAATTCGAAAGCAATCAGTTTTTTTTCTTCATAAACTTTATTAAAAGAAGTCTTCATATGATCAGTTTTACATTTTTGAATTAGCCATGCTTTCAAATGTATCATCAACATATGTTTGGTGATAGTGCTTGAGGTGAGAGTGAAGGTATTTTCATTATTTCACTATCTACATTTCCCATCCTCAAGCGTGAGCAGGAGGCAACCAAGTACCAAAGTTTTCACTGAACAAGTTAGTGTAATCTTTTATCGTATGTGATGGATCTAAAACAGATACTCGAATCCATTTTGTTGAAAAGATTCTGCTTACCATAGTATTTCTACTCATTTGATTTTAAAGTAGATCAAACGATCAGCAAAATAAGTACTTGTGAGTTCGTGAGGAAATACTATTTATTGTTGTGACAGATAAGAATTGTCAGAATTCATGCGTCTCTAAACAGATCATTCATCAATCAAAAATACATCGTTTTTCCTTATCCATACAGACCGCAATGGCTAAATCCAAGAAAGACAGTGGAAGTTTAGCATTCATATGTTAAGTATTTGTGGAATAAGAAAGGAACTCTTTTCTAGAACACATGTCCTTCTATAAGCCTCTCAATGTCAAGATTAAAACAGTATTTTGTTTGGGAAAACTCAACAAATATGATACGGATTTGTTCTTCTAACTGTATCTGAGTGACCATTTGAGTCATTTGTCAACCTACAGATGCGATCGATCCACAAGACTGAGAACGGATACAATAAGGGTGATAATAAAAAGAACATTTGGATTTTTTTGCTATTTCTAACAAATCACGATTATTTGATGCATGCCTAATTTTATTTAATTCAACAAAACTTCAAAGATAAAAAGGCAATACCAATATGGTGATCACCACAATGATTCATTTTTTTTTTAGAACTGTTTGAAATAGCTAAATTGATTGAATGTATTCAAACATCTTGTAATAATTTTCTTAGAAGTGCACAAGAAGTTGAATAAAAGAAGAAAATATTGATTTGTAGAAGAGTGATGCACTCAGCAGTTTGAAAAAAGCAAACCAGTGCATAGAACAGAAGGGTAGACGATCTATACCGTTAGTCATCGTTTTGGGCCTCCCATGCCAGTGCCACAATCAAATACGGATGTAGATATCTGGTAACTTCTTTGATTTTTTCATTCTTAGCACCAATTTGTCGAAACTCGTGTTCCAATACTCGAGTCTTGTCACCGAATACATCTTTTTTTACATTTCTCTCGAGTTCGTCCCGATCACTTGCTTCCCTTTCTCCATCGGTATTGTCCTTGTTGTCAAGACACTGGACTAACATGAACAGAACATCGACCAATTCGTCTTGACTGAGAAATCTGTCACGATTCGAATCGCACAATTTGAACAGACATTTCATCTTTGTTTTCGAATTATCCTTGACGAGCATTCCCATAGCCAAAATATACTCGTAGTCTAAATGCATTCAACATCACTATTCCATTTAATAGGTTTTAGGACTCAGCAAGAAACTTTTTCGAAATTTCGTCACAATACACTCTCTTAGAAACAGTTGATCTCATTTACGATACTCATCCTTATATTGCATGTTTTTTAGGACTTTAGCAGAATAGGATGCACGCTACATGAATTGTATACATCTCGTCGAAAAAAGAAACTATTCATGTGCCATTGAAAGAGTAAGTTACAGTACATGAAGACACTGAAAGAACTTCGTAAACATTTGTATGAATAGTTTTATTCAGTCTTTCTCATGATTTAACTTATCACTCTATTTGCTTTACTGAAATAAAACGATTCTTTCGACTTATGTATAATCATGAAAATTGGAAATAAGTTCGATCTAAATCTGGCGTAGTTCGATTTTTTGCTGGCTTCCCATCTAATGAGAGAGACGATGGACTTCATTAAGCTCTTTAATGAATGTACAAATCGAATGAAATCAAATGATACCTTGAAATCAGTGATAGCCAAGCGAAAATACGTACCTGAGTTGTTGCGATCAGCGGTAGCAAAGAGACGTTTGACCAAATTGATGGTCTTCGGCTTGACGTTGAACGATGAGTCCGACAATGATGCAAGGAACTGTTTTTCTGTTTTACCACTGCTGGGAAACTTCACTTTTGATTCCTCTAAAATATTAAGGCAATCTGAAGAATTGTTCAGACTTTTCACAGACATAGAAAGAGCCTTAAAATTTGACTTTTAGTAAGTTTTTGAGTTTGCAACGTACTTAATGATATTTTAAAATAATGTTTAATATGAGACTGAAACCTAATGAGAACTCATGCACATTCTGAATGATTTTTCTCGAGAAGAATTTCGATAATAGATGGGCTTCATCTAAAACAATTCAATGACTAAACCCTTTATAGTTTCTTTTGTAGAGCTGCGTGCATATAAGAGCAAAAAAGAGTCAATTATCTGCGGCTTAATTTCAACAATAAAAGGCTAGAAAAAATACTCATATAATTACATTATATTCTGTCTCCATTGCTGATACAAATAGAGATGCATTTCGTCTCATTAACATTAGTCATTTTGATCAAGCCACCAACATCAGTGCATATCTTTAGCAACAGAACTCTGAGAAAATTTTTGATAATTGCTTCTTTCAAATAATGTTTGCGATCACATATATCAGAAAATATCGATACACTAACCAAGCATGTCACGAATTTTCTCTTCATACATGCCAGTCGCCGTCATCAGAGTTTCCAATTGAGATTTGCTTAATTGGACACGGCTTCTGATTTCATTTATTGTGTTAATCGTAGAGGCCATCTCGTGCAACGCTGAGAAGAATATATAAATTTCTGCTGGAAGAAATGACAGAAAGTCAATCAGTTGAGGTCCTCAAACAAAAAGCATACTAGTGTGCTCGCTACTCGTTTGATTTTGTACTGATTGCATGTGTACTTTGATCAGAAAAAAAACAAGAGTAGAATCATATGAAGTGAATCAACATAGGTAATTGCTTATGTGTTGTTATACTCAAGGACGAAAAGGAACCAACAACTGCCGTTGAAATACAAAAAACACACTTCAATGTAAACTATTGAAATCATGAATACTAACACAGAAGCAATTATATAAA